TAAAAACTAAAGTAAATGTCCAGCTGGATTTTCTACATGCTGAGATGATTATTCCTCTCAACAATAATGAGCGTTTCTCCAAATAAAGAGGGATGTACTCTTGAGTAAACCATCAGGAAAGGTCATGGGATCCTATCTCACTTTCACCTAATTGCTGAGTCTGTTCTCAACCAGCTTTCTCAAACCTGTCCGGAACTGTGAGAAGCAGGTACCCTCTCCCAACTACTGAGGGGAGTTGGACCAAAACAGCTGTCACCACCCAGATCTCTGAATATAAGACTTAAGACCTACTTTTGGTTGGTCATATTAAAAAAAAAAACCAAAAGCCAAATTTCACTGAAAATAAGGTGAGACAGAGGGCATGCCATTCACCTTGTTTATTGTTTTATGAAAGATGAAACAGTCTAAAAAATAATACAGCATACATCTTATGAACTTCCTAACTGGTCTTTTAAAGATGGTAGCCTGCCTTCCTTTCTGTGATTTAGAGCTCATTCCCAACCTCTCACTTCAAATGCAGCTATCCTACCATTAATCTGATCTGACCTTTTACCTTCTTTTTTCCTGCCAGATCATTTCATCCTGCTTACTTATCACTGGTCAGCCAGAAGCAAATGCTAAATCATCACAACAGTGTCTTATTGGAAGCTGCTATAATAAAAGAATCATAGTCTGGGTGTCTTATAAACAGACATTTATTTCTCATAATTTCTCAGAGTTCTGAGACTCATCACATGGAAGAAAGGGGCTAGAGAGCTCTCTGGGACCTCTATTTATTTATAAGGCCACTAATTCTATTCATTAGGGCTCCATCTTCATGACTTAACTAATCCCCAAAGGACCCACCTCCTAATACCATCACTTCAGAGGTAAAAAAATTTAAACATATCAATTTGCAGGGGGACATAGATATTCAGTCCATAAAAAGCAAAGTTACTTTCAAATAGGTGATCCAACTTTAAAGCAAAGCAATTCGCTTGAACCTAGGATGTAAACTACTCACAGAACACATTCTCATTGGGTTACGAAGTACAATTAGAAAGATTTCTTTTTCTACCATTCCATTTCCTTAAGGAGCATACCTCCTGTGTACCATCTAGTGATCTCTGCTAACCAGCTACTCACACAGTCCACTTCCTCCACCCACACCTGACCTCGTAATTCCATCCTTCCCCAAACCAGCCTCCAAAATCTAGAACCCTAGTCTAAAAACAAAAATCGGTCGTGCCAATGGTGAATGTGCTATTCTAAGAGCAGCAGTATACAAGTGGGTGAAGGGTGAGTAAGGGAAGGACAGGGGAGGACTCTGCTCCCCAGGGACATTTGGCAATGTCTGCACACATCATTGGCTGCCACAATAGGAGTGTCGTATTGTCATCTAGCAGATAGGAGCCAGAAATATTACTAAGCATCCAACAAAGTAGGTGATTGCACCCCACAAAAAAGTTACCTAGTTAAAAGTGTCTGTAACAAAGAGGTGCAGAAACCCAGCCCCCAGAGGCAGCGTATTTCTATCAACAACTCCTTTGCCCAGCTGTGGTGGCCAACACAGGCCGAGGCATGAGGAGTACAAGCTGAAGGACCAGCCCAGGCTACATAGTGAGACCCTGCCAAAACAGGAAGAAAAGAGAAGGAGGGAGGGAGAGCGGAAGGGAGGAAGGGGTGGGAAGGAGAGAGAGAGCGAAATAGGATTTCACTAACTTTTTGCCCAGGCTGTCTTTGAACTTCGATTTTCCTAATCTCTGCCTTCAGAATAGCTGGGATTACAGGCATGAGCCATCACACCCCGCAGCTTCAGATATTTTTAAACTAAAATATTAGATATAGCTAAATCCTTCCTCTGTCATGCGCTCCCACCATGCTATATTGTGCCACCCACCACAGGCCTAAGGCAGCAGGATGGAGAAACTATTAGCCAAAAATAAACCTATTCCTTTATTAAATTGACTATCTCAAGTATTTATCACAATGACAAAAGCTGACTAACGCATCTTCCAAACCCCATAACTGGATTATTTTGCTCTCTGCAAAAAGCTAAACAATATTAGTATTTTATTAATAAGATAAGCCCATTAAATGTATTATGCTTCATATAGGAGCTGGTTGTGTTCAGAGTTCACACCAAGACACTAATACCTAATTAGCGTAGCCAATTTAAACCCAGAGTTGAGGTCGACAGTGTACCTCAGTGGGAGAGCACTCACCTAGAATATTTAAGGCCTTGGGTTCAATCCCAGAACCACAAAAAAACAGCTTTTCCAAAACAAAATAAATACAGAAAAAGGAAATTCCTCCAATTTCTGTTAATAAAATAATATCCCACATTTTCTGTGATTTTAAAAGATTTTATTAATATCATAAGTAATATATTCAGGATATCAATATGATTAGTCAAATACCTCACAAAAAGAATTCCAGCTGGCAGAGTGGCTCAAGTGGCAGAGCACCTGCCTTGCAAATGTGAGGCCCTGAGTTCAAACTCCAGTACTGCCAAACAGTAAAATAAAATAGAATTCCAAGAGTAAAATTAGAAGAAAATATTAGGCAACCTGAATTCTCTCTGAATAGGTACAAGAAGTTTACCTTAGCATTTTGTTCTCGGAGTGTCTGGATGGGTGGAGGGGGCATGAGATACAAGGAAGAAGAAGAATTTAGCACAGAGCTAAATTAACAGTAGCTACATGACCCAAAACCATATGTGACGTTTCAGCCGGAAGTGGATTTATATTTCCCATCACCAGCCATGCCGAGTTGAACCAGAAACATGCCAAGCAGCCAGGTCAAAATGCCTGTGCCACAGCTCAATGTACAGTATGTGTATTATGACTCACTCTCAGGTCAGATGCAGGCTTTCTTCATGCCTGTTGACCTTTGATAGGTAATCATTCCAATGTCCTAGTATAATGTAATTATAGTGGAATTTATCTAGAGTCACTAAAATTATACAATTAATTATATTAATTCAGAATTACTGAGTCAAGCCTAGCAGTATCCTGGAAATCAGTCAGGTACCCAAAGAATGAGTTTGACAGCTCTCAAAAGTCAAATGGTCTCTTGTACTATTTACAACAAACAAAAGTAAAAGTTGATAAAATCTCTCAGTTGGACCCCATCCCAGAACTCAAGAGGTGCATCTATGGCTGGAGTGTGAAAGCACAGCTGAAAAAAATGAACCCTTTGCACTCTCTTTTCCTGTCCCAGCCATTTGTGCTGTGGCTCTAGCACATCTCTCCCAGGGAACAAGAGCCCCTGAAGTTCATGTAGCACAGCTACGTGAAGGGGGAAAGAAAGATTTATCTTCACCTTTGTGGTAACATGAAGTAAATTCCTTCAACCTGGAGGAAGATGCAATCATGGAGCTTTTAAAAGAGATCTTGCTGGGGAAGTGGCTCAATGTGGTAGAGGGTCTGCCTAGCAAAAACAAGGCCCTGAGTTCAACCCCAGTGCTGAATTAAATAAACAAATAAATAAAATTTAAGAGCTCTTACAAGTAGTTCCTAAGGTCAACAAATTAAAAAGTCTTCAATAAAAGGCATGCTAGAATATGGTTAAGGGCAGAAGAGATTTAACCACAAAGATATTTTCCTATATTCAGCTTTCAAATGACTTACTTAATAAAAACACAGAAGAAATATAATGCAGGAGAGACTTAACTGAGGACAGAGACTTTTAAAATATGTGTTTCAGGCCGGTGGAGCGGCTCAAGTGGTAGAATGCCTGCCTAGCAAGCACTCGGCCCTGAGTTCAAACCCCAGTGCCACAAAAATAATAAGCAAATAAATAAAAATAAAATGTATGTTTCATTAAGGAAAAGAGCAACAGAAGGAATTCTGCATGTGTGTGTGTGTGTGTGTGTGTGTGTGCAGAAAACAAAACTATCTTCCCTGTCTAGCCAATCTATACCTCTCAGCTCACCCAAATCGATTACCAGGATGATATCATTCAGAGACACTCAGAATCACACCCGCACTCCTGCCTGGGCCCCCGGCCTGCCCGTGACCCTTGCCTAAGCTGACTGGATTCACACTGACTTGTGCTGTCATTGGCTACAGTACAGACACATGGTGCCCCAGAGACGGAAGATTGCACCAGCTAAACAGACAAGTGTTCCATGTGTTTCATCACCCTCTGTCATCTGTCTACGACTGTACACTACTTCTCTTGTGATTCAAAACACAGGATGTACCAGCCCAGCACACACCCCATAAGTCCTGGCAACCCAAGCACAAAGTCGGCGTAGGAGCAGAGGTACACAGCGTGACAGTTCTAGGATTCACAGAGATGAACACAGCACAGATCGCATGTTGTCCTTTGCTTATTCACCTATTTTAGCATTTGTCCCTGTGACCTGCTGAATGACTGTCTTCCCATAGGCACCTTGTCTCAGTCACCTTTTGGATCCCAGCTCACAGATGCTCAATAAGTTTATGAGTCAATTCCCAATTTCAAGGCTAAAAACGACAGCCACTGTAAATAAAACAGTACAAATGTTATAGGCATCAGCCTCACTCTAAACCATTAGATTTACCCTTGTTCCTCCTGTTTACTTTCATTCTTCTCTGGAGGTACTATGGAAAAGACTAGGTAAGGCAAATGCATGACAATAATAATTCGCCAACAGGTAAAAGTATTCATTTAGTCCTTACTTCCACGTAGCCTTAAAAAAAAAAAAAAAAGAACAACTAAATCTATACTACTAGATACCCTCCCTGGGAGGTTCTAATCCCCTTATCCTCCAAACTGAAACACCCTGTGCTCACAACCACAACAAACCCAATCTATGAAGTCCACGGAATTACACTCATGACCAATAACATCCCAAATCTCAAAAAGCACAGCAGAATATCAGCAGCAAAGTTTATTCCCCTTAAATCATAGGGACACACAATAAATATATACCCAGAGAGGGCTGGAGGTGGGGCTCAAGTGGTAGAGCACCTGTTTTGCAAGTTCCAACCCCAGTCTCACCAAAAAAAAAAAAAAAAAAAGCCCCCAGAGAAATAAAACTTAGTAGATCTGATATATCCAAGAGAAGGTATCTGGCAATTAAAAGATCACAAGTAACTAGCAATATCCATGTTGGTTTAAGTGTACACAAAGGTCCACTAGCTGACTCGGTCATTTGAAAATAACGATCCTTATACAAAATGCTCAAATGTTTGCAATCAAATGCTTTGTTATTCCAAAACAGAGCAAACAACTTCTACAATTCCTTTTAGACAATTCAGCAGAAGTACCTTACAGTTTGGCCATTTTTACTTCTAAAATTTTCTACAGTTTTGAAAAACATAGAAAGACTTTGCCTTTTAATTAAATCTAGGGATTACTTAGCCACTACGCTTACAGAATTCTACTTCTCTGAGAACCCACTCTTAAATAATTCTTAAAATTCTCACCCAAGTGAAAGAGTCCCTTTGGACAAAAGCAAAGACAGGAACTGGTTAGCTCAGATGATTGGTCAGTTCACTTCTACAAGAAGCTAACATGTGTCATATGCGAAAACAATAGATACCATGGGCAAACGCAAACATTAAATAAAATTTAAAGTGTTTCTTCAACAGGACTTTTCTGAGCCTTTGTCACCATGCAACAGTACTTTCCAATAGGAAGGAACAGTATACTATGATTCTCAAGCTTATTTCACGAGAGTACTTTTATTGTTGTTGTTTGGAATTTCTGGTGCTAGGGATTAAACCCAGGGCCTCATGTATATGCATTCTACTACTGAGTTACACTCCCAGCTGAATGTCTTTTTTTTATTATTATTTCATGTCATGTACAGTATTACCAATTAGTCTTCAGCAGTAAAGCATATTTTAAGGACCATACTTTATGGGCGCTAATAAAACCTCAGTTATAGGTTGTAACTCCCAGGCACTTCAGTTAGCCCTGCTACGGTTTGGATGTGGTGTAAACAAGTCCCCAAAGGCGCATGTGTTGGAGGTCTGGTCTTCAGTGTGGTAGTGCTAAGGCACTGTGGATCTTTAAGAGCTGGGTCCTACAGAGAGGTACTGGGTCATAAGGGTGCTGCCCTTGGAAGAGATTAAGTTAATTCTCCTGCAACCCTGTGGTAATTCTTGCAGGTATGAGCTGACCCCTGACACACACTCTGTCTGCTTTCTGTCTCACCACCTGCACAAACTACACCATCCACCATGAGTTCCCTCACTAGGACTGAGCTGATGCTGCCACCACACCCTTAAATCTCCATAAATGTGAGTTAAGTAAACCTCTTTTGTTCATGAGTAGCCTGCCCCAAGTATTTTGTCAGAGTGATGAAAAGCTGACTGATACAGTCCCCCTGCCTTAACTATTAACTACATCTTCTAAAACCATGGGCAGCCATCTTCAAATGCATGCACTTAGAAAGTAAAGTGATACCTGTAAGAACATATACAAAAACTAAAGCATATCACTACCTTTATGATAAAAAGTGAATCAAAACTCAGGTGGATACTATTTTGCATTAAGGACAGAGGTATGAATGATCCAAGGCCTATAGAAAGCACTGCTCTCTGCACATTTCATGGACATTTATTTTAGCAATCATAGTGAAAAAGAAGACTCACCAACAGAAGCTGAATTTTTAAGAACCGACTCCTTTGGGGCTCCTTTTTCAATTCGTATTGTGGCCCACTGTTCAAAAACAAGAAGTATTCATTTAAACTCTCCCACAGACACAATGTAAAATACTCAAACCATGCTTAATATAAGTGAAATTAATCACTAACTACTGGCACTCTTTTAATCAAAGAGACACCTACCTTAGTGTACCTCAGATGGAGCATTACAAGTCCTAGCTATGCTCATCTATTAGTCACTGATAACGTCCTAGTTAATGAGCAAAGGATGATATTCACCCTGTCTAAATCTCCTTACGTATGTCTGTGCCCTAGTTAATTACTCCTTGAAAAGGCTGTAAAGGCCAGAATTGCTGGCGCATGTTTATAATCCCGGCATTCTGGAACCTGGTGCAGAAGGATCTCAAATTCAAGATCAACCTGGGCTACATACTGAGACCCTGTCTCAAGAGAACAGGTTATGGCATCAAGAATGTCTAGGTTTGAGAGGCTGGGAGTGTCGCTTTTCAATGACAGAACACTTGCCTAATATGTGAGGCCTTGGGTTCAATCCCCAGCACAGCAAAAAGAAAAAAGTCTGGGTCTGAAATAACTATATATTAGGCCTCAATTTCCTCATCATAAAATGAAGGTGACCACAGGGCTGCTGTCAGGATTAAATGACATAACACATGTAAAGACCTAAACACCGGGCACAAAGTATAATGATTATTTTCATCACAAACTAAGCATTCGGGTGTACAAGAGGTATCAGAAACAGGCTTTCAGAAAGCAGCAGCATGCACTTGGAAATCAGGAAAGAATCGGTGAAATCACTACCTGAAGAACCACCTGGCTACTTACCTATTAAGATATATAGGGGAAATGTTACGAGTTTTAGGATCTACAGGCTTGGAGAGAATTTAAGAGCTAGAAAAACAACTCCCACTTTGAATATATGTAAGCATGTAAAAAAAATATACCGGAATGTGACTTTTCTTTCTTTCTTTTTTTTTTTTGGCAGTATGGGGGCTCAAACTCAGTATTTCGTGCTTGCAAAAAAAAAAAAAAAGCTTGCAGGGGCTTTACAGTGAGTCTTTTGGGGGTTTTTGGTACTGGGTTTGAATTTTTTCTTTTCTTTTTTTTTGGAGAGTGACACTGGGGTTTGAACTCAGGGCTTCTAGGCAGGTGCTTTACCACTTGAGCTACTCTGCCAGGTGGTAGAGTATCTGCTTTACAGACAGACATTTCTTGCCTTATGCATTTCTAAAATTATTTACCATTGAACATCATAGCTTAAAAAGAAGTCCAAGTAAACTTTTTCAAATCAGCATTCCAGAAAACCACTAAATGCTGGTTCTTATTTTAAAAATAAGCAATTAGGACCTGGTAGTATCGCTTAGTGGTACAGCATTTGCCTTAAGGCCCTGAGTTCAATCTCCAGAACCAACACACACACACACACACACACACACACACACACACACACACACACGAAAAGGAAAGGTGAGAAAAGAAAAACTGAAAGGTGATTAAAATGAGATGTAGAGGATTATAATTTAGAATTGTAATCTAAATTGACTGAATTGTTAGCAAATAACAGGTAAAAAGCATTGCAGTAATTTTAATGGACCATAAGCCCCCATGCAGGGACAAAAAGACAGACTGATTCATACATCAGGCAGAAACCTCAGTTACTGATAGGCACAGATAGGTGTGTTCACCAGAAAGATTAAAAGCTTTTTTCCAAATATATTAGAAAATAGCTGATGGAGAATGAATAGCCTAACGTTTGTGAAGGTCGAGGAGCGTGGCATGACCCGACTCGTCAGGACCCCCGCACAGCAGTGCACCCAGCCAAGCAGAAACCTGCCAAGCGGCTCAGAAGAGCTATAAATAGAAGCCTAATCTTCCTGGCTTCAAGTGGCAAGTCACTAGTGCTAATAAGACTCATCTTAATCTGGCTGCATCCTTTTCTATTCGTCCTGATTTAATGCAAACGTTCTCAAACTTGGACCCCATCGTTTCTCAATTGAGGTAATGGTTGATTTCCACAGTTTTCACTTAAAGCTTTGGCACTTACTTTGTAATAAGACAAGATGAAATAAAATTTTGGACACAGTGATTGTCAACCCTGGAACTCGCTTTTCTACTGTAGACATGTAATTTTGTATTTTATATAAGTGTTGTTACCTCAGACTAATTATCCCATGCACATATGATAGCAAATATTGGTCCTTTGTGGCAGCTAAGGGCTAAGTTATATCCCTTCAAAATTCATTTGCTTAAGCTAACTCCCAGAACTTTGGAATGTGACAATATTTGGAAAGAGGGTCTTTTATTTCTTTGGCAGACTGTGGTTTGAACTCTGGGCTTCATGTTTGCCGAGCAGGTGCTCTACTGCTTCAGCCACACTTCCAGTCTGTTTTGATCTGGTTATTTTGAAGATGGGGGTCTCTCACACTAAGTGCCTGGACTGACCGTGAGCCTCAATCCTTCGGATCTCAGCCTTCCAAATAGCTAGGCGTGAGCCACCATCGCCAGGCTGGAAATAGGGTCTTTAAAGAGGTGAGAAAGTTAAAATGAAGACCTCAGAGTGGGCTCTAATCTTATCTGATTGTTGTCATTATATTATAAAGAGGAAATTTGGATACTCAAAGATATACCAGAGATATGAAGCCTAAAGAAAGACCATGTGAGGACACAGTGAAAAGATGGCCACCTGCAAGCCTAAAAGAAAGGTCAAAGAATGAAACCAACCCTATCAATACTTTTATCTTGGACTTCCAGCCTCCAAAACTGTGAAAAAATAATTTTCTGCAGTTTGAGCTGCCCAGTTTGTGTACTGTGTTATGGCAGCCCTAAAAGACTGACTATCAAGCAACATTCCTCAAATAGCAAGTGACATTCCTCAACAACGAGATACGCTACAAAGACAGTTTCAGAACGCATAGCATCTCCTGGATTGGATTGCTCCAATGGTCTGCCCTACAACAAACAACAGCTTTGCTCAAGATAAGCAAATTTGAAGGGTGGAAGAGCAGCCATTTAACGGCAAAGAGACTGCAGTAGACAGCCATTTCCTTCAGCCAGTCTACTCATCTACGCGTTTGCTGCCAAGAGTCTGACTCATACCTCCTACCATCTGGAATGCCCAGGCAGGAGGTTTTCTTTTCACAGTTTGTATTCCTAAAACAATTTCCTCCACTATTAAGTTATCATATGATGTATATGTTGCCTAACAAATTATATAGAGAGACAGATATAGCCTTTGGAAATCACTGATTTAGAGACTCACTAATGTTATTCTAAACCAAGTATTTAAGCCTTGTCCTCAAAGAGCTTGCCATATCAGGGACTTAGGCACACATCTACAGACACCCAGCAATGCAGGAAGTGCTTAATAAGTGATTATTACATGAACTGATAGGCTAAGGAGTCAGCGAAGAGCATATTAACTCAATGAGTTACTTGACAAGTAACAGTTACCATAGCTGGCACATTTCAACCTCCAGAACTTGAATTTATGGTCATAAAAGGCCACTCATTAACAATGAAATTTGTAAAAGTAAACATTTAATGGATAAAACTAAATGACCCTTTAAAATTATATACAATTATAACCAAAGAAACCTGAGAAATACCTAATTCTGATCAAGAAGCCCAAAGAACATTCTTGAGACTAGAATGGAAAGAAAGGGAGGGAGAGAGAGAGGGAAGGCAGGAGAAAGGAGAAGGGGAGAAGGAAGGAAGGAAAGAAGGAAAGGAAGAAGGGAGGGAGGGAGGAAAGAAAGAAGAGTCAGTTGAGAATTTACTAGGCAATAATTAGTAACAGAAGGTCTTGAAAGGAATATAGTAAAAGGCACAGTATTTGTCCAGAACTAAAGGTATTCTCATACTAAATGATTCACACAATTTTTAAGGGAATTAGCCCTACGGTTGTGAAAAGTAATCTACTGCACTAACCGCTGCCTTACAGAAATGTCTTTGAAACTTCTAACTAAACTGTTCTAGTTGAAGGATGGAAAATCCTGGGATCTTCTCTGATGGGCCTAGCTGTTCCCAAACACAGGAACTCCAGGGAGCCATACCCAACATATGAGCTGGCTCACAATGACTCTCCATTCAAATTCCATATATGCCAAGCACCCCTCTGACCCAATAACTTCATTTTAGCAAAGATAATTGTTCCTTACACTGCCACCAACCAGGTTTCCAAGTTAAATGGTGCTATCTCCTACTCTAACTAGAAACTTCACATTGAGAAAACTAAACTCCTGGATTGGCAAGAAGTCTCTTCAACTCCAGATGGACAAAAAATTACCCTTGGGGTTCTTTCAAACTAAAGATCAGATCCTGGTTGAAGATAATCCATCAAATATAGCAATTTGCTAGACTAAGAACAAAGAGCTGGCCTGTCCCCTTGACATCTCTCCAGCTATCCTAAAACACTAAAGCAAGACAGACAGGAAAGAGTTAGCACCTGGAAGCCAGTGTGTGATTTACCCACACTCAGTTCTCCAAAGGACATTGTTGTCGGGAGAACAGCGCAATCATTTCAGAGGTCACACAAAGAGGGAACCAGCTGAAGAAAACCATTTGCTGTAAGGTGGGTATTCTGAAGAAGGGCTAATGGTAAGAAGCTTCTAAAAACTCACAGCACAGTGTGGCCACACTCAGAACCTAACATCTCAAAGAAAATTCCAACACTGGGAAACATCTCCCAAATAGAAACAGCAGAACTTTTTAAACATGAGGGCCGAGGATAAAGAATCAAATATAGTATACTGCAAGGACTCACAAAGAAATATACCCAAAGAGCAAGTTCAACAAGAATCAGGAGTAAAACAAGACATTGGAAGCCAATGTCTCATGGTTTAGAAAAGTATATCTGGGAACTACTCCATCACGGAGAAAGAAAAGCAGATAAAGCCAAGTCTTATGGGCAGACAGAAAATAAGGGCAGAAAAAAAATGGGAATCTATCTTAGAAAGGAATGGAAAAGCTGAGAAACACAGATGCTAGAATCTAAGTAATCATATTACAATTTTAATAGTAACAAGCACATCTATACATATGTGCCCCTAACATACAGGCATCTCTCTACAGCTTGGCATATTTTAATTCATTAAAATAACTGTATAGAAATAGGTGTTATTATCACAAGAAGTAGCTGACCTTGCTAAGGTCACATATTGAGAAACAGCTGGGATTCTGGTACTGCAGGGAAGCAAATCTGTACAGTCTGCAGGACCTCTCCTGAGTTAAGCCTCCTGTTTCCTATACTTCATTCAAACAAACCACTGAAACCTCCTGACTGTTTCCCCATCTGTAAAAGGGAACAGCACTCCTCCTCTCTGCCTGACAAAGTCTTTCGAAACCTAACAGAAAGCTGCAACTGCCCCTACTACACTCACTTGCATCTAACATCTTTGCCTGCAGAATCCGGAAACAATAGGCAGGCAGAGCTGAGGTCAAAGAATATACCTTTGCAAAGGCATTTCAGGTGCTGTTGGTTAGATAAAATTTCCATGACTGCACTAAAATAAAATCAGATCCTTTTTCTGCTATCCAGCAATTGACTTCTTATCTTGGGCATAAAGAACAAGATGCCTTTCGGGACAGGACGCCTTAGTACATGAAAGGACCTCTGAAACTTGGGGCTATAAAAACTTCAGGTGAATTAAGTGACAGTAGCACGGCAATCATGCATATAAACAAAAGGCTGTCTCACGGTTATTCCAACCAGTAAAATAAGTGAGGACAGAACCAGGCCAGAGTGGTTCCAATAAGGTGGTCCAGTGGTCTCAGCCGGGATCCCTCCTCCGGGTCTACGCTGTCTTGCCAGAAACTGGAATGTACCCCCTTCGGGCCCACTGACCTTGGGGACGGGCCCCCGGTGGCCCTCACAGCTCTAAACTCGGCCCCCACCGCCCAGAGCAGCAGGGGAGAGGGGGGCCGCCTCCTCTCGGGTGCTCACCTCCAAAGTTTTCACCAGGATCTTCATGTAGATCTCAGAGATGCCCAGGGACACTCCGAAGGCCGAAGGCAGCAGGATGAGGCTGAGCACCAGCGTCAGCCAGGTGGACACGATCTTCCCGACCAGGTCTGTGCCCTCCATGGCTCGGCGCAACCACTCAGAAGAGGTCGGCGGTGTTGGAGATCCGAGCGCGACAACTGTCCCGGACCCCAGGCAATCTGGCCGCCTCCTGGCCCTCACCTCTGCGGGGCAAACAAGGGAGGAAGGGAAAAAACTTTCAGAATGACGGCAATTTCCTTCCTTCCTCCTCGGGCTCCTCCTCGCCCCAGAGGGCTACCTCTCCGCTAGAGGCCCAGGCGAAGGCTGGAGCCAGCGACCTGGGTGGCGCGGACAGGAGGACCGAGCTGGGGACGAGCGCAGGGACTCCGCGGCGCGGTCAGAGCGCACCAGCGCAGCCAGGAACGCGCCCCACCCCGCGCCTAATTTCCTCTGGGTGGCGATTGCGACAACGCGGCGGTGACTCACCGAGGCCCTCCCGCAGCGAGATCCCCGCCCGTGCCCTGCACCTCGCGCGCGGCCCGCGGGCTATGCTGGTGACTGGTGACTCTCCGGTGGCCGGCGCCCTTTTTCTGAGCGCTGCCTTTGCTCCACCTCCTCCGCCACCCAACCCGGCGCTCCCGGGCCCGACCCAGCCCCGGCTCCGCAGCCTCCTGGGAGGCCTCGGGCTTTCCCGCGCCCCGCCTCCCTCGGCGCTCCCAGCAAAGGTCACATCTGCAAAATGTTAGCAGCTCTGTCACCCACAGAATGAACTACTGGCGTAGCCAGCACTCTTGAGAAGGTCTTACTTGTGTGCGTTTAAAACCACCTCTTGGGAAAGGTTTGCAAGGCGAGAAAAACGCAGGGCGTTGTTGAGCAGCCACATACGCCACTGTGGGCTCTCGCACCCACCTCCACCCCTCTGGCCCTCCCCTGCGAAACTGCAGGACTGGATCTTCCTTATCCGCAGAGAGGAGAACGTTCTCTCCATAAATCGCCTAATCCGCTCAACCGCCATCTCCCTGGCACAGAAGAAACCCTGAAGCCAAGCGTGGTAGTGCACATCTGTAATCTCAGCACTCAGGAGGTGGAGGCAGTGGGATCGCGAGCTCGAGTAACTGTCAGATTCCAATCCCATCTTCACCTTTCATCCACCAACACAGCGGCACAGACCCTGCAGAAAATGCCAGGCTGACAGGAGCCTCCTGGAGGTTCAGTCCCTGCGCTGCTGTGGTGCTATCTTTGTTAGAGCAATGGAGGGCAAAACCCAGAATGTGTATCTGCTCCAAGGCGTTCAACTGGTTTTTAAGAATAAGCACGAGAAAAGAATATTGAGAACCACCTTAGCTGGACATGGGCGGCTCACACCTGTAATCTAGCTACTTGGGAGGCTGAGATCGGGAGGATGGCAGTTCCAGGCCAGCAAGGGGGAGGCAGGGGGAATATGTCTCAAGAACTATCCCCCCTGGTATATTTCTCAGAAATACCAGAACAAAACGGACTGAGAGTGTGGCTCAAGCAATACAGTGCCTGCTTTGCAAACACGAAGTCCTGAGTTCATACCCCAAACCCCAGTCCCACACTCCAGAGAGAGAGAAACAAACTGCTCAGGGTACAGATTACCACTGTATCAGATCTAAACCTCTTCACTTTACCAAAATCTCTTACAGGTAATGTGGGGTGTTGTTGCAAAGCTGGGGGAAAAAAACCTGGGAGGGCCAGCAGCAAACTGAATTGAAACAGTGTTACTAGCAAATATTTCAGTCTGCCATGGTGTGGAGAAAGCCAGGAACCAAGAAAGGGATAAACCCCTTTGCAGAGATTGTGTTTGCCCTTCTGACCTCCTGCCAGCTAGGTGTCACAAACTCCCTCCCTAAGAAGGAGGAAAATAATCAATTTATGAATGAATAAGTGCCAGAGGGTGGATTTCCCAAAATAAAAGTATGGTTTCCTATTTACTGAAATAAGGAAAACCACTTGATGGAAACTACCAACATCCCTGCTGAAAATTATATATCTATTATGTATTTAACACAAAAGATTACACTGACTCCTTTAGCACTGTTCATTCAGGCAAAATGCTTACCCTCTTATTTCCTCAAACCAAAGTGATTAAGGAATACAGAATGATTATACCAAAGTCCACCCATCAAAGGAGACAGCACACGCAGCTTTGTTTTTCTGCTTAGCCACACTCTGGCACTGAGTGCACACACTCTCCAGTAATTTTTATTGCTGATAACTAAACTCCAGGAACTGGCTTTGGTTTGGGAGTTTTGTTTTGAAGGAGTGTCACAAACAACAAAGCTCTATGTAGAGATCAGGAGGCAAGCTGCTACAAGTGCAAAAATTCTTCTGGCAGAAAACACAAGAGAACCAAAATCCAAAATCAGCTCCCAAGGGTAACAGAGGCTCGCCTCTGCAATGACAAGGAAGGGAAAGAGTCCAGAATCACCCTCCCATGTCTCTGTCCTCCCATCCTGCAATCAGGACTCCCCTCAATTAGCTGTGTTTGTTTCTTAGGCCTGCCTTAACAAATCACCAGAAATTTAGTGTTTACAGGAAGCCAGAAGTCTGAAAAGTTCTCTCTCTCTCTCTCTCTCTCTCTCTCTGTCTCTCTCTCTCTCTCTCTCTCCCTCCGTCATTCCCCCCTCTCTGTGCTGGGGATCAAACGCAGGCCTTGCACATGGTAAATGATCTGTGACTGAGCTATGCCCCCACTCTTCTCTTCTTTAATTTTATGGTCCATCCTTGGGAATGATGTTATCTCAAGGTCTTTAGTTAATTACAATTAATCTGCAAAGACTTATTTTCCAAATAAAGTCACATTCACAAGTTACAGGAGTTAGGACTTGGACATATCTTTTGGATGGCAGCAATTGAACCTTCTGTGCTTCCCATCTTTGTAAAACGGGGAATAACGCCTTCCTGCAGAAGTTATTGGGGTTGGAACGTATGTTCTTAAAATTTAGCTGACAGTCAGTGCTCCATAAGGAAGTTGTCCACAGTCCTGTTTTTCACCTCTTATCCTGGCGTGTGATTTAACAGCACTCCTCACTCTCAAAATGTTCCAGTTGGGATGACAGACCACATGTTCCCTTATGCTAACATCATTTTCTATATCCCTTCTAGTCCTAAAATACTGAATTCTTTGACAAAACTCACTGTGAAGTCCATCCAGTTTGTCACTGCTCTGCCCTCAACCAACTGGATATGAATTTAGAGACCTAAGACCAAATGAAACAGCATAGGAGACTAAAGAAAAGGCAGTAGGGCCTAGTCCAGAATTTCTAAAACGTTAATGTAAGACGGCCAGGGGTTCTTGTTTTAAAATGCAGATTCTAAGTCAGAAAGGGTGGGATGGGCTTGAGATGCTGAATTTCTAACAAGGGTAGGTGATTCTGTTCTAATAGTTCCTCACACTTTGAGTAGAAAATGCTGGGTATGAACAAAAAGGGAAGTTTTACATTTAATTGATAACAAAAGACCATGAAGATCCAGATAAATTTCTGGGCAGTAAGACAAAAAGAATAGATCCAAAGAGCAGGCTGGTACCTGAGAACTCCATTGTGTTACTTGCCTCTTCTTCAAGCCCTGCTTTGGCAATAGTCATCGCCATTGGGGACATTGTGTAGGCAGAAAGACTCTGAGCACGTGTCAGGACTTTCAGGAAAGATGCCTATGGCAAGTAAGAGGTGACAACTGGAGCTAAGTGACAAATACTGATTTAGGGAGTAGGTGCCTTAGTCAGCTTTCCGTTGTCACTATAACCAAAAACAAAAAAAACCACCCGAGCTAATTACCTTGCAAGGAGGCAAGGAGAAAGACTCATTTGGCTCCTGGTTTCAGAGGTTTGCATCCATGGCGCCCCATTGCATTTGGGCCTGTAGTGAAGCAGCGCCCGATGGCGGAAGCTCAAGGTGGAGGAGGCTGCTCACCTCGCAGCATCCCAAAGCTGAGAGAAAGAGGGGGTGCCGCAAGGGCAGATGGCCCTTCAAGGAGGACCCCATCTCCTAAAGGCTCCTCCACTTTCCGATGGCACCACACGCTGAAGGCCATGTGGGACTCAGGGGACTTAGGGGACAGTCACGATGCAAACGATAGCAGTGAAAAAAATCGAAAAGATCTGGAGGTAAAGCAGATTTCCCAAGCCCTTTACTCAGCACACCAGTCCGGAGTTGTCTCCAGTCTCTTTGACCTTTCTCTTCTCTGATTTCATTTCGTGCCTTTCTTGGATCTTCATATTTATATATGTGCTCAGTCATCTCACTAAAGACTGCTTAGTATCAAGAAATTAAATCATTGATCCTGGCAGGTGGGTCAAGCACATAATCCTAGCTACCCCGGAGGATCAAGTTTCAAGGCCAGCTCAGGCAAAAAGTTCGCGATGCTAGTCATAATGGCACACTCAAGTAATCAACAAGGGGAAGAAGATGAGGCAGGAGGATCATGACTTTGAGGCCAACCTGGGCTACACTTTGGGCTGGTGAAGTGACTCAAGTGGTAGAACGCCTCCCTAGCAAGTGTGAGGCCCTGAGTTCAAACCCCAGTACTGTCCCCTTCCCTCCTAAAAAAGTTTGCAAGGTGACCCCTCCCTATCTCACCAATGGTGAAGCAAGATAACACTTGCCTGTCATCCTAGCAACGTGGAGAAGCACAAATAGGAGGATTGCAGTCCAGGCCAGCCCCAGCATAAAGCAAGACACTCTCCAAAATAACCAAAGCCAAAAGGGCTGGAGTTATGGCTCAAGTGTAGAACATCTTCCTAATAAGAGCAAACCCTGAGTTCAATCCCAGTATCACCACCACCAACAACAAAAAGAAGCCTTTTCTGGGGGGAAGATTTCATTCTCCAAACCGTAACAGGCAGACAGCCCAGATTCTCTGGGCTCTGTGTGTGGTGTTTGAGTTTCAGTCTCTTCTTTGGTCATGTGAGTTTAATCTTCCTTAATGGCTGAAATATCAAGCAAGGAGGTCAGATCTTTAGGTAGATAAGCAAACTTCAGAGAATCCCCTCTTCTAGCATCTTGTTAAGTGATTCCCAAGTAACTAAAATTTAAAATAATCAGGGCTGGGGTTGGAACTCAGTGGTAGAGCACATGCTTAGCATACACAGTCCTGGGTTCAATCCCCAGCACCCAAAATAAATTAGCATATCAAGGTGCCATATTTTGGCTTTTTGAGACAAAGTATTATTATGCAGCCCATGATGGCCTGGAACTCTCAGTCCTTCTGCTTCTTCCTCCCAAGTGCTGGGATTATAGGTGTATAACACCACACCTGGCAAGCTGACAAAACCTTTCTTTTCTTCCCCTGGTTTATGTAGAACTTCTTCCTGCTTCCCACCATAGACACATGCATTTTTCTCACTCCATGATCAGGAATCCAACATGGATCCTACTAATTGCTGAGTATAATTATTCTAATTTGCATTGCAGAGCTGGAAAAATAACCACAGAATGGGTCCAAGAACTTGCTGGGACCAATGTCAGATGAAACTGAGCAAAAACTCCACTGAGCACTGTGAGATAGGGAAACAGAGAGGACAAGGAAGGGAAAACAGAAAAACAAATCAAATGTTAAAAATAACCCTTTCAGACGGTCACTGGTATCTCAAGCCTATAATCCTAGCTACTCAAGAGGCAAAGATGAGGAAGATCACAGTTCAAAACCAACTCAGGCAAATAGTTCAAGAGACCTTATCTCAAAAAACCCATCACAAAAAGGGCTGGTGGAGTGATTCAAGGTGTAGGCCCTGAGTCCAAGCCCCAGCACCGAAAAAAAAAAATTAAAAAAAAAACTCTTTCTGTAGCATCTGTGTTGATTCCTGCACACAGAGCTCTGATCTTACAGAGTGATCCCACATAGGACCATAAACAGTCCTACTAATGCACATACTAGACCTTAAAAGAAAACTTGTTAAAGTGTCACTAACAACATCAAAGGTGTTCCGGTAGAGTGACAGTGAACAATTATGTGCCCTCTGTTAAGTCTCTTTCAGTGTTTAAAGTCATATAG